CACTCTGTACCCGCTGTCCTGGACCAGCCGTGGCTGCACCTGTCCCATCCTCAACCCAGGTACAACAGTGAATGTGGCTTCAGCGTCACGTAATTAAAAACTCTAAAAATTATGTGATTTTCAAGTAACTCCTGAAGATTCATCTTAAAGGGGACCTATTATATTATTATCCCTATTATTATCCCTCTTTTTAAAAGATTCAAATCAAGTCTCTGTTGTCCCTAGAGTGTTTTTGTGAAGTTTTAACTCAAAAATACTCCACAAATAACGTTTTATAACACTTTGAAACTGCCACTTTTAAGATTTGATCTTAATTGTGAAATTTGGGTGACTGTTGCATTACATTCTAATTAGATTGTGCTTTTTTGTAAAGAGGGCGGAGCTACAAATGCCTATGTGTCAGCATAGTGCCTGATTTTAAAAAAGACTAACATCCTATGCCAATGAGGGCGAGATCGCCACTAATGGGCAGGGCTTTCCCCCTCTGATGACACGTACAAAGGGAGAATGTCAATCAAAGTGTTTCTGCAGACTGTTTTAATCAAGTGTGATTATAAAAAATAAAATCAATAAATTTTTATGATTAGAAGCTGGCTATATTCACACACTGTTGCTGCACAATTGTGTTTAAACTCCTCAAAAAAGTTGCATAATAGGTCCCCTTTAAGTAATTCAACGTATGTGTGAATGGGGTTAAATTAACTATGGTTGAACAAAATCAGCTTTTCCTCACATCCAAAAGCACATATTTTGGGACTCAGTGGGGTGTTAAGAGTACTTAGTTCTTATATCCACAATAGAAAAGAAATATCGCGAAAATTTGTTATCTCCTACAAGTAAGATTTTTGTAAAATAAAAAATCTGTGATTGTCCAAAAATTTATTTTTAAACTTGATCCGTACTTAAATATAAATTTTCTAGATAACCCTGTGTGCATGAAATAGAATTGGACCACCTCTTTAAAGGATTAATTCACCCAAAAATGAAAATTCTGTTATTAAAGGTGCAGTAGGTGATTCTACAATTCTGAAAAACTGTATTATATCTAGCATGTTTTCAGTTGTGTAGTTAGCAAGCAAAAATTGTGATAATGTGCAATATTTCATGCACGCAAGGATCATTGGCCTCACTCTCTCACGACTTTGTCCTAAAGCGACAACTGTATGTATGCTTAGTGGTTGGCCTGCGGTTATTTACACTTATTTTAGAATTAGGTTATTTTAGAAATTACACTTGACTTATTTCTAAGACATACTTACATACTATTTCAGAGTGAATATTCAAATTAGCATGGTAAACAATATAGAGAGCGAGTCACAGGCTGTTATTGCTCAAAAATGAACCAATTTGAATATAAAAGCAACTTCTCTCTTTTATTTATTCATGTTTTGTTCTTAAACTAAATAAAAATCTAAATTATCGATGCTGTAAAATGTTACTTATTAAATTGAAAACTTGACCTTTAACCTGCACAATAAAAATGTTTCTGAAGACAATTACCTACTGCACCTTTAATTACTTACCCTAATGTCATTCCAATCCAAACCCTTAAGGCCTTTCAGAACAAAAACTAAGCTATTTTAAATCAAATCTGAGAGCTCTCTAATCACCCATAGACAGTGATGGTCCTGAATCGTTCAAAGTCAAGAAAAGGAACCAAAAACATTTTGAAAACATTTCATGTGACTTCAGTGGTTTATGTATAATTAAATAAAGCTCCAAGAACAATATTGTGTGCCAAAATGTTTGCTTCAATCTTTTGTGCGCGTTTTTTACTTGCATTTGCTGATCTCTTCCTGTCAGTGTACAGTTGAATTATTAACCCTCATGGGAATTTTTTTTCTTTTTCAAATATTTTCCCAATGGTTTAACAGAGCAAGAAGTTTTTCAAAGTATTTGCCGTAATATTTTTTTTCTCCTAGAGATTTATTTGTTTTATTTTGGTTAGATTAAAAGCAGTTTTAAATTGTTTAAAAACACATTTTAAGGTCAATATTATTTACTCCTTAAAGCAATTTATTTTCTCGATTTTCTATAGAATAAACCATTGTTATACAATGACTTGCCAAATTACCATAACTTACCCAATTAACCTAGTTAAGACTTTAAATCGCAGTTTAAGCTGAATACTAGTATCTTGAAAAACATTTAATAAAATATTGTTTAATGTCATCATGGCATTGATAATATCTAATATAATATAATATATAATATAGTTATTATAACTATTATTTTTAGAAATGTGTTGAAAAAATCTTCCATTAAATAGAAATTGAGGAAATAATATTTCCTATTAAATAATATTTAATTATGTCCTATCAACACATGGGTGAAAATGCAAAAAAGATAACATTTATATATATAAAATAAAAATATATAAATGACAATGACATGAAATAATCGTGAATAATCGTGAATGTAGTATAAGATACATTTATCAACGCTATTACAATAATTACTATGATTTCTCCATCATTAGGTGCAAGCTATCTGCTAGCAGGTCCTGAAGAAGTGGACTCGGGAAGGTTACTGGTCACCATGCAGAGTCTGGTCGTCCTCTGGACCCCCATCCTGGGCTTTCAGGTCACAGAAGCACTACATCAGGGTTGCCTATGAGCACAACTGTACCCAAAATGTACAGTAGCACAAACTTGAAATCACGCTGTTGTACCAAAGCAAGCAATTGGATCCTAAATATGGACCATGAGCCCCGGGTTCAACTTAAATTGTGGATCATAACAAGATTCATAAAGTACTGCACTTAAAAACAAAACATCTTCATACAACAAAAACATCTTGTGGATGTGTATATGACATTTAAAAGACTTTCTTTTTCTATTCCTTCCTCCATAGTTATTAGATTACCATCAGAAATGCTTTCAAACAAATGATGAACATGACAATGAATTTTGTCTGTAATTCAAGTTTGTTTTTTTTATTTGGTTCTTTGTTACAATTCTGTCAAGTGTTTTTAAAAATGCATTTCAATATGCCACAACAGAACAAAATGAGGTATGGACTGATTCATTTTCTCCCAGAGCTTATGTTTGGTTTGAATTCAGTGTTTTTTATGTTATGTTATTAAACATTTTACAGAAACAGACAAGATTTTAGAGATGAAATGGGTTTCTTGTTTAATCAAAACAAGAAAAATGACATTAAGGTTTTGAATGAACTAGATTTATAAATGACATTGACGAACAAAGGGGCTAAAATGAGTGTAAAACACCTAAAAACCGGGCAATTTTTAACACTTTAACGTTGTGTTAAAAATGGATCTAGAAACAAGGGCTAAATATTAGATATTTCTTTTAAACATAACCTAATAGTCTCTGGAACAACATACTGTATTTGCTTAACAGAAAATCAGCTTATTCATAACATTGATTCCCTATAATGTATAGCAGATCACTTGTAACCGTGGGGAAAAATAAATTAAATTAAAATTCAGTTTCTCTAGATTTCATGTAATTTTTGTTTTATTCTCTAAATGATGAAGACATTTCTTCCAAATTTAAAAACAAAATGTTGTCATCTAGATAGTTTTTTGCATAAAATAACAAAGATGGGCCTGTTTTCTTAAATGTTTGTATCCAATTGTTTGAAAACAATGGTAAATGTTTGATATTAAAGAGTTATGAAGTCAATATGTCAATAAAATTTAATAAATTTCAATATTTTACCAATATTAGTCAATATTTGATTCAATCAAACATCATAAGCTTTTTAATGACTTATTTTTTATCAGAACTATCAAATAAAATGCATATTAAAACTTTACCTAATAAATCAAGCGAAACTGAATTTAAGTCTTAATTTTCCCCCTTTCGCTGTATACACTTTATTAGGTACACCTGTCAACTGTTTGTTAACACAAATTTCTAATCAGCTAACATGGCAGGAAATCAATGCATTTAGGCTTGTAGACATGGTCAAGACGATCTGCTGCAGTGCAAAACAAGCATCAGACTGAAGAAGAAAGTTGATTAAGTGACTTTGAATATGGCATGGTTGTTGGAGCCAGACTGGTCAGAGTATTCCAAAAACTGCTGATCTACTGGGTTTCATGGATAACCATCTCTAGGGTTTACAGAGAATGGTCCTGAAGGTCAGAGGAGAATAGCCAGACTGGTTTGAGCTGACTGAAAGGCAACAGTAACTCAAATAACCACTCGTTACAACCAAGGTATCCAGAAGAGCATGTCTGAACGCACAACAAGTGCCACTCCTGTCAGCTAAAAACAGGAAACTGAGGCTTCCATTCACTCAGGCTCACCAAAACTGGATGATAGAAGATTTGAAAAAATGTTGCCTGGTCTGATGAGTCTCGATTTTTTTGCTGTAACATTTGGATGGTAGGGATTTGGCATCAACAACATGGATCCATCCTGCCTTGTATCAATGGTTCAGGTTGGTGGTGTAAAGGTGTGGGGGATATTTTCTTGGCACACTTTAGACCCATTAGTACTAATTGAGCATTGTGTCAACACCACAGCCTACCTGAGTACTGTTGCTGACCATGTCCATACCTTTATGACCACAGTGAACTCATCTTCTGATAGCTACTTCCACCAGGATAACACGCCCTGTCATAAATCTCAGACTGGTTTCTTGAACATGACAATGAGTTCACTATACTCAAATGGCCTCCACAGTCACCAGAAATCAATCCAATAGGGCACATTTGAGATGTGGTGGAACGGGAGATCGCATCATAGACGTGCAGCCGACAAATCTGCAGCAACTGCGTGATGCTATCATGTCAATATGAGCCAATATCTATGAGGAATATTTCCATTACCTTGTTGAATCTATGCCACGAAGAATTAAGGCAGTTCTGAAGGCAAAAGGGGGTCCAACTCTGTACTAGTATGGTGTACCTAATAAAGTGGCCAGTGAGTGCCTATACATCATCAGCTGAAAACTAAGGCTTCTGGTTTACTCACTCACGCCACCTGCTGTTCGTACCTTGTATGCTAGACACATCAGCAACAGAACAATTTCTTCATCATAAAAGTGTTTAATCATACTCCAACAACAAAATAATTACAGGAAATGTATATAGATGCGCTATTTCAGCCTTTCTTCTAAAAACTGCTCAAACACAAAGTGGCCTGTAGTAGCAGCAGTACACAAGTCAAACAATCTGTGGAGCAAATAACCAGAAGATACAAACCAGGATGATTCAAATGAAGTCTAATGTTTCACAGAGCCAAGCGCAGACTCACCTGCCACTCATTTAGATCCCGAACCTCATTTTTAGGTCTCTCAAGTGCACGTTAATGTCACATTTTAATCACAAAACCTGACGTTTAAGAGCTTCCTGCATCTGTTTGCTTCACAGATTCTGGGGCATTGTTACATATGATCTCTTCATAGTCAAAAGTGGAGCTGTCTTTGCTGTGAGGGGGTGAAGTGAGGATAACATTAGCTAGTCGCTGGGTTTTCTGTGGCTGCTGCTGCTGTGGAATCAGTAGAGGATGCTGGGAGAGAGTCAGTGGGTGCAGTATTTGCTTCACCAGAGGGGGCACTGTCGTTGTCGTCTTCCTGAGGGTAAAGCTCAGGGTATTTCTGCATACACTCCTGCATACCCCGGAAGTTTTCCACACAATCGGAGCCCTTTATCTCCTCTTTGCTATAGTGGAAACATGAAAACGCATCCTTGAACTGCTGTCCACAAGGGCCACTGGCCATGCCGCCCAAACACGGGCAGTTCCAGTTTATGTCGCCATTAGGTAGAATAAGACCTGTGGGATCATAGCAAACGGGTATTGTGGAGATCAATTATAGAAGAGATTTAAATGATGCTAGCTGATATGGCTGCACGATACTGGGAAAAGATCCCATGTTGTTGAGTATTACGAATTTTTGATAACTGTATATAAAGATAGAAAAACCCCATGTTTGATTGTATAGATAATCAACCTATTACACAAAAAAATTGGTATATAAATAAATGTAATTTATCTAGTGCTGCGCAGAGTTGTAGTGATTAACTGCATCCAAAAAAAAAAGTTTGTTTTGGCATAATGTGTGTTTAAATTACTTTCAAGGCCAAAATGACTCCTACCCCAGGGGTAAGAATTTTCTTGGGCTTGGCATGCACGCATACATGCGCGCGCACGCATGCACACATGCACACACACACACACACACACACACACACACACACAACTAAACAAAAAAGTTGTTACATAGCTATTTAAATTTACATTTATAATATATACAGTTGAAGTAGATGTCCCCAAACGATGTTTAACAGAGCAAGGCATCTTTTTCAGTATATCCTATGGTATTTTTTTCTTCTCTAAAAGGTATTTGTTTTATTTCAACAAGAGTAAAAACAGTTTTATTTCTTTCAATAACCATTTTTAGGTCAATATTATTGGCCTCATTAAGCTATATTATTTTTAATCTTTACACAAAGATACACCTAATTACACTATCTTGCCTAAATAACCTAGTTAAGCCTTTAACTGTCACTTTAAGCTGAATACTAGTATCTTGAAAAAGATCTAGAATAGTATGCATCATGGCAAAGATAAAATAATATAATAAAACAAGATAATTCTGACTTCAACTGTACATGTATACGATACAAATGATATAAATAAACATTCTTAAATAAACATTTTCTATACACACACACACACACACACACACACACACACTGTATACAGAACATATATGCATTGAAGTCTGAATTATTAGCCCCCCATTTAATTTTTCCCCCGATTTCTGTTTAACAGGGAGATTTTTTTAACACATTTCTAATCATAATAGTATCTATATAATATAATAACAACTCATTTTTATTAATTGATTTATTTTATCTTTGCCACGATGACAGTAACTAATATTTGACTTGATATTTTTCAAGACACTTCTATACAGCTTAAAGTGACATTTAAAGGCTTAACTAGGTTAATTAGGTTAACTAGGCAGGTTAGGGTAATTAGGCAAGTTAGTGTATAACGATGGTTTGTTTTGAAGAAAGTTAGAAAGAAAAATAATAATTTTGTCCTTATGGTTTTTAAAAAATTAAATCTGCTTTTATTCTAGCCGAAACAAACCAAATAAGACTTCCTCCAGAAGAAAAAATATTATCAGACATACTGTGAACATTTCCTTGCTCTGTTAAACATCATCTGGGGAATATAAAAATAATAATAATAATAATTCAAAGCAGGGACTAATAATTCGGACTTCAACTGTATATGAGCTTATATTATCAAAACAAACTTTTATTATCGTACTTCTCTGCTCTGCAATACAAATATTGCAATTATACTGATAATTTTTATCTAAATTGTGCCACCGTACAAGCTGATCATTTTTTCATTTTATTTAATACACGGTATTCTGGAAGAACAAATCAAGTTCAGTACTTACCGTGATCCTCATATGGATCATTAGGGTCATCTTCAACAAGTTCGGCATTACTGGGAGCTTCATGATCTTCCTTGGTGACAAATATGATGCGATCTTTACCTTGTGTGGGAAAGTGGTAAAAAATTACACACCATGGTTACACAATATAAATACTAATGATTCGACCACTCCACCAGTGTTTTAAATAATAGTAAACTACTAATCAGTACTAAAATTAATAAAGCTATAATTAAAATAGTGTGTGTGTATATGTATGCATGTATGTGTATATATATATGTGTGTGTGTGTGTATATATATATATATATATATATATATATATATATATATGTGTGTGTGTGTGTGTGTATATATATATTTATGTATGTATGTATGTATGTATATGTATGTATATGTTTGTGTAAATTGCTTCCTTGTTCTCATTTGTAAGTCGCTTTGGATAAAAGTGTCTGCTAAATGACAAAATGTAAAAAAAAAAAAAAAAAAATATATATATATATATATATATATATATATATATATATATATATATATATATATATATATATATATATATATTCTTATTTTAAATGTAATGGAAATTTATAAAGGCAAAAGCACAAGACAACTAAAATCATTATTCAAAAATTTAATCTAATAAATATCCAATTCATATATCATATTTAATATGAACATGCAACATGTAATAATTACATTTTCACTTTTAATTTTAATTAATAGCTATTTGCAGTGATATGTATGTTTGGGGTGGTCTATGTTACAAAAGACATATAATTTGTCAAAGATGCCAAAAGGATAAAATATGTCTCATGTAAAAAGCAGAGATAAGTAAAAGAAAAAATAAGTTTAAGTAATAGACAAATGATGCATGTGGTAATGGGGTGGAAAAATAATAAGCCTGTGCTTCATCCCGCTTCATTTTCAACCATGTTAATGTATTTTTGTGAGATATTTTATGTATGATATTTCTGTTCGAAAATAAATTAATCAAATCCTACAATATAGTACCTGTAATTTAAAGCAACCTGTAACTGTTTCTTTTGTAAATGATTAAATGCATAAATAATGCCTAAACAATATTGCATTTGATATAGATTGTGAGGTAAATGATAAAATGTTGCAGCTTTTTAAATTAAAAATAATGAAGATTATATATGATCATTATATAAATAATGAGATTGTTAGTAAACCACTTCAGCACAGGTTTTGCTGTGAACTAAGTTAGGTGAATAAAAACTTGACAATCCTTCCTATATATACATCAGTGAACCAACTAATGTCAGACTGTCTGTTGCAGTTTATATGATAAATTATTTATAACCCTCAAACCATGTTCAAAATAACAAAATTCACCATTTGGTGGCTTTAGGTTGTGAACTTCCCAAGATATGACCTTGTAGCCAAGCTAACATGACTATCATAACTGAATGACTAGATCAAAATGAATAAAATCTCAGATTAAACGTAAAACTATCGCTTTACACTAGAGATGTATGATATTTTATTGGTCTCATTCTGACTGTTTAAGAAGAGTTTAATCTAGAATATCTCCAATAATGCAGCTATTAATTATTAATTTCACCACACACACACATAGGACAGAAAATAAATTAACACGACTCAATTGAACAGACGAAAACAGATTATTTTCAGTTGATAAATATTTGTGTAACTCGTTGATATCCTCAAGCATGGCTGTTAGAGTGACTTTTAAGGGCATGAGCATTAGCCGCAATGCTAAACCACAGTGGAAAATGGTTCTAAAAGGGGTCCGAAGAATCAGTTTTAGATAAGGCATACCTTCCTGCTTGCAGTACGACATGCCTGCTTACAGATCCGTCTGATCGCCGTTTATCCGATCAATAAAACTCAAACACCGGCTCAGCTATCGGTCCACACGCCTGTTACAAAAACTCCAGCATGGAGGCGGTACAGTAACCACGTGATGCTACAGCCGGATGAATGATAAAAGTCATCGTGACATTTCAAAATAAAAGGCAAGCCAAGTTTATTTATAAATATCATACATACTGTTAGTTTACATAAAAAAGAATAGAGAAATATAAAATACAAGTATAAGATAATAAAAACAACAAAAAAAAATATTAAAACAGATTAAAATGTGTTAAAACAGGTTTTAAAGTATTACAAAAAGAAAAAGACATAATAGTGCGATCTGTCAGTCAGACGTACCTGTAGCACAGCGCTAATTCAGTAAAGGCAAATATAAAAGGGACGGAGAGGTTGGTTAGTTAAAAAGTTAACTGCTTTATAAATGCTTTTATCATTTATATATTTGTTCTTAAACTATACAAATATCAGTAAATGTCTTATATAGTATAGTTGTAGTATTATAAATATTTTTATGGAGACCATGAAGCAAGCTGCCAGTGTTTACTTCATGAAACTGATGTGTCAATATTTCAAGAATTATGGCTGTGATTTAGATGTTTTTTTTTTAAATAGTAAAAATTATTTTGTTAAGATTTAATATTTGTTTACCAAGTATTTTTCTAAGATAAATAGGATGCATCAATGTGAATACAATATGTTTTAAATTCTGTCATTTTTAATAATGAATTAATTGATCATTCCTGACTCACTTTTTCTGTATTTCTTGCTTTTTATCAGAATGAACCACTGTATTTCATTTACTTTCCAGCATTTATTATTTATTTATTATTTATGTATCTTTTTATATTGACTTAATTTACTCATATTTACTTATAATTTATAATGTTCACATTTTTATTAGACTCAATATTATATATTATTTTATATTATATTTCATTATAATATATAATGAAAACATTCTAAAACATAATATCTAATGTTGAGCTTAATAATAATATAAATCATTTTTAAAATAGTACTGGATGTCAGGGGTGTCCAAACTTGGTCTTGGAGGGCCGGTGTCCTGCATTTTAGTTCCAACCCCAATTAAACACACCTGAACCAGCTAATTAAGCTCTTTCTAGGTATACTAGATCTCCAGGCAGGTGTGTTGGAGAAAGTTGGAGCTAAACTATGTAGCGGCCCTCCAGGACTGAGTTTGGACACCCCTGCTGTATGGTAAATAATTCTTATGATAAATTATTTTATAACTTATTTTGTTTTCATTTGATTGTTTATTATTTTAATCAGATTGTGAGTCATTTATTTTTACTGTAAAATAATATTCATGTATAATTCATAATATATAATTTAAAAATTTAAATAACAACTTTAAAAAATGTTTTAGTTTTTTAATACTGTATGTTTATTTAACCTAATAAAATGTTTGATTATTTTTTAATCTTAATTTTTGGTTTTAATAATAATAATAATACTTTATTATTGTTATTATTTAAAAAAAAAAATTAAACGGCTTTTAATACTTTCTCTTCAAAAAAATAAAATAAAATTTGAAAACCCGTGTCTTTTAAAGCCTGCTTGAACCACAAGTTGCTGAGACTTTTATTTCAGTATATGGGTATATTTCCTACTGGAACGGAATGTTCCCAGCTGGGCCAGTTGGCATTTCTGTGTGGAGTTTGCATGTTCTCTTAGTGTTTGCGTGGTTTTCCTCCGGGTGTTCCGGTTACCCCCACAGTTCAAAGACATGCGCTATAGGTAAATTGGATGAACCACTTTGTCCGTAGTGTGAATGTGTGAGTGAATGGGTGTTTCCCAGTACTGGGTTATGGCTGTAAGGGCATCCGCTGCATAAAACATGTGCTGGCCTGGAATAGTTGGCGGCTAATTCCGCTGTGGTGACCACTGATAAATAAAGAGACTAAGCCGAAGGAAAATGAAGGAATGAATGAAACGAAATATTGAGGTGGGGGCGGGGCTTTCTTTTTTCACATTATTCCCTCATGGCAAAATAAAGGTAAGAGGGGCGTGGCTAAGAATATTGTAGCTGAAGTATCAAAATGACAACACAGAAAAAACGCCACTCTAAATGGAAAAGCAAATGGTCAGACTTTAAAGATTTCTAAAGCATTTTTTTCTATTAACTGGATTAATTGTTCACCTTAAGATTAACAACATGCAGTAGCAAAATAACCATTTTAATTATTGACTTTACACCAAGTGTAAAACAGGCTTGTCTGTCTGTCCAGTTTCTTGTTTTTATTATCTTGGGATCACCACAGTCGTCTCAGGAGACTGAACAGATGCAGCTCTTTTACCGTCAGGCCCTCGGATTCAGACAGCTTGTCAGGACAGCAAAGCATGAGAAGGCTGTGTTTTGCTAATTAACCGTGGTACCTGAGGTGAACTGTAGTTCTATATATGGTTCTACAGAGCTCTGCGTTTTCCTCCTGCCAGCCTTTTACCCACACATCTCATTACAGAGGACAGGGAGCTTGTGAGTTACAAAACACACACAGGGACACGCACACTTGTTTTGCTAGCTAACTATGTGTTAGGTTGAGTTGTTGTATTTGGCTAACGTTACACGTACACTATCAGGGGTTTGAAATTGTTTATTCATTATTCATACTCTTGCTGGAAAACCGAATAACAGTTACTTTGAGAACGGCATTCAATGTGTTTTGACATCAGTTTCCCACTAGGTGGCAACATTTGTGGTTTAGCGCTCCTAGCATCCACTGATTTAATATACTGTAAACAATAATTATAGGCTGTATGTAGCATATTCACATTTATATTACATATAATCATTTGGGCTTTTATCTAAAGGCATTTAGAAATAAGAACGAACGAAACAGATAATCAAAGTAGGCTATGTTAATTAATGATATATGAACATTGCTAGTTGGTCTAATAACTATCTACATAGACGTAAAAAGAGAGATTTTATAGTTAGTTAGTTAGATGGTCAAGTTTATTTTTCTTTTATCGAAGAAAAATATAAGTGGAAAAAGAAAAGACATTGTTAGTTATATAAGATCAAAATCATTTTATTCATATACAGTTGAAGTCAGAATTGATAGCCCCCTTTGATTTATTTATTTATTTATTTATTTATTTTAATTATTTCCCAGACGATGTTCAACAGAGCAAGACCATTTTCACAGTATGTCTGATGATATTTTTTTTCTGGAGAAAGTCTTGTTTCTTTTATTTCATCTAGAATAAAAGCAGTTTTTAACTTTTTAAAAAACGTCTCAAGGTCATAATTATTAGCCCCTTTAAGCTATATATTTTTTCTATAGTCTACAGAACAAACCTTTGTTTTCCCCTGTTTTCTACACACTTTTGTTAGCTGTTGTCTGTTGGAGTTCGCCATCTGGTGGCAGCGTTCAGTACTCTTTGAGATGTGTGTGTTTGACCTTCAGTCTGTTTGTGTAAAGCTTGTATCCTCTCATCTGGTCTTGGTGCACAGAGATTCTACACTGAATCACCGCGCGAGAGGAAATGATGTCATAGTGTCACCTTCACAGGCGCTCCTGTCATGGGGTGTTGGAGGTGAGCATGTTGTGTGTGTGTGTGACGCAGACTCTGCCATCCAGGAGAAATGCTCATTTCAGGACACTTAGTCTGTTTATCTGTAAAATGGAGAGGAGCTTAAAGGATATAAATAGACATATTATTTTAAAATAGCTCTTAAACATTAAAATGTAAATTATTTTAAACCTGTAAATAATTACTTGTGTGTGTGTGTGTGTGTGTGTGTGTGTGTGTATATATATATATATATATAAATATATATATATATATATATAGAGAGAGAGAGAGAGATAGAGAGAGAGCAATTCCATTCAAATGTCAACTTTGCCATAAAAAAATAAAAATAAATAATAGCGAAACCGTTTCTGCATTTTTAAAAATAATCTAAATTATAGAGTAAAAGTAATCCAAATCAAAAGTATCTTACAGTAATCTAAATCATTCATTCACTTTCTTTTCGGCTTAGTCCCTTTATTCATCAGGGATTGCCACAGTGGAATGAACCACCAACTTATCCAGCATATGTTCTACGCAGCAGATACCCTTCCAGCTGCAACCCATCAATAGGAAACAACCACACATTTTCATTCACACACATACACCACGAACAATTTAGCTTACCCAATTCACCTATAGTGCATGTCTTTGGACTTGTAGAGGAAACCACTAAATCAAAAGTATTTAAAAGTAATTTAAATCAAAAGTATCTAAAAATAAGCTAAATTGAAAGTATCTAAAAGTAATCTAAAAGTAATCCAAATCAAAAGTATAGAGTATCAGAAAACATTTTTTATTAAGTTTAAGGTTTTTATTCATTTCTCAGTCTTTATTTAGTTTCTCATCCATTTTGGGATGTGGTGGAACGGAAGATTGGCATCATAGATGTGCAGCTAACAAATCTGCTGCAACTGTGTGATGCTATCATGTCAATATGGACCAAAATCTTGGAGGAATATTTCCAGTACCTTGAATCTATGTCATGAAGGATTAGGGCAGTTCTGAAGGCAAAAGGGGTACTAGTAGGTGTACCCAAGTAACCAGTGAGTGCATAATACAGCATATCTATTTGTGTTTTATGGAAAAATAAAATAATACTGGTTTGGAACTGCATCTCAAGCTTCCATCTTTGGTTTAACTGTTCCTTTAAAACTTTTTCAGAGCCTGTGTGGTCGGCTTAACAGTAATTGAGAACCGTCTGGGCAAATAAAGGAGCTTTTTCAGATATGATGAATATGAGAGATAATTATAGCGTTCTAATGCTAGAAATCCCCTGCTTTCGTTGACAAAACAGCTATATTGTGAATGTAAAGTAAATAGGGCATTCTTGAATTTATTGAAGCTGTGTAGGCGGTCCGTTATACTTCCTTCCAGCGCTTTTACTCTATCAGAGGGCTTATATAATGGCTTCTGTCTGGGCATAGCGTGTCACTTTTACTCAGAACTGATGAAGTCTTTTTGTTCATTCATTTCTATGTGTCAGTGCAGGTTGTATATTGTTATATAGCTTCTAAGTTTTTAAAAAACACAGATCATGTTATATTCAAT